AAAAAAATAAAATTAAAAATATTTAAATAATTTTACAAAATAAACTACATGTATCTAAAATAATTTTCTCTGATATTACAATTATAATATTTTTGTGAAACAAAGACATTATTCTGCATAAAAAGACGCGAAAATGCCAGGAAGAAAAGTGTTTTACTGGCTGGTTGTCTTGTTTACTGCATTTACTTCCTCTGTTCCTGCAAGATAATTAGATAAGCAGTGTCGTTTCGGGCTTTGCTCCAGTGGAAGCAACGCCCCAGCTTCCATTTTCTTGCATGGTATAGCTGAGCTGTTCTCCTATGTCGTTTATACCCAAACCTCAGTAACTCCAAAACCTCGCTGTTCCGCTTGCTTGCTATATCAAGAACCGCTGGCTAGGATGCACCAGCAGCACAATGCGCATCGGGAAGTCCTGTTAACCTGCTTTTCTGTTTTCAGGCATTAAATTATAAAGAATTTTGTTTCTATACTTGTTGGTTGGTGTTAGTGGGTCCTTTGATTCCACATCCATTAATTTGGTATTCGTAGGTGCCTAATTTATCTAATTTTGAGTTAATTATGTGGGTTAGTTTGTTAGTATATGGTTACTATATATTTATTAAAAAATTATTACTTTTAATATGAAATTAAAGATAAATAAATTTAAAAAAATAACTTTACATATAAAATGTAAATATAGATTGAATTAAATTGTATTTATATTATAATTTAATAATTAAACTAAAAAAATATAAAAAAAATATTAAATTGAGTGTGTATCAATAATTTTTCACGTTATTTTCATGCAGAAATTATTCACCTGCCTCCTAACACTGATTAAAAGATAAATAAATTTCGTCATGGATTGCTGCTTTTGAGTACCCTACTTTCATCAATTATGCTAACATGGTGCTTAATCTAGCATTGTTAGATTGGACACTTGGTCAAGTCCAAGAAAGTAAAGGACCCGTATACTTTTTCAGGGTCAATTGTAATGGACTAGTGAGACAATAATTCATCAAGAAACCCTGTTAGGAGTTAAAACGAATCAAACAGTCAGAGTCTTCTAATCACAGAAGATTGAATCATGTGGAATGACACTGTTTGAGGAATGTATGACCAGAGTTCAGGTCTACCTGGATTTTTCTTGGTATTGTTATTGAAAGTCTAGTTGTGTTGGGGTGGGCCTAACAGCAAAGAGTTTGTTGTGAGTATGTTGTTTCCTTAAAAGTGCATTTGTATGACTTTATGAAAGTAAAGTCGGGTTAGTTGAGCACTTAAATGTACTGTGGAATTATTAGAACCTTTCCCTGGGTCAGATGTTCATAGATAACAGTTTCAAATAGTGAGAAGTCCTTTTATCCTTCCTGTTTTATCAGATTATGATATGAGGGACTAGGTATAGTTTAGAGAGAGTAATATCATCTTCATGACGCCTGCAACATTTGAAAATTTTCACTGCAATATTTCCCTGGCCCCAGATTTTAACTCCTTCCATATTAAAGTAGCTAAAAATAAGCAGTGATTTCCCTTTTTATTCTTTATTTTTGCATTTTCTTTATTCTGTTTTTGGCTTTAAGAATTTCGGTTTTAAAATGTCACAAGAGGAATCATAGGAATTTTCCTTTGGTGATGCTTGGACCGTTTTTACTCTTATGTGGTCGGTTTAATATTAATGTAATATAATATCATCACCTAATGACTTGTTGAATGTGCTTCATATATAGCTTAGTGATTCATGTCTGCCTAATCACTTTTCTGCCATACATTTGAAGGCAAGAAGAGCACTGGGAGCATTAAAAGGATTGGTGAGGCTTCAAGCACTGGTTAGAGGTCACATTGAGAGGAAACGAACTGCAGAATGGCTCTGGAGGATGCAGACTTTGTTGCGAGCACAAGAACGTGCTCGTGCAGGCCGGATACAAGTTTCTGAATCTTCACAAACAAGCAGCAAAACATCTCATTTCCACAATCCTGTAAGTGACTCTTTTTCCCCCCTGCAATATTTGAAATCTGTTATACCAATACCACCCTTAGTGTGGGCAACCACATGCTCATTAGTCATTATCCTATACTGCCTGGACTGTGGTCTCCTCTTCTTTATAAGCTGTAGACAGCTTTTCAGGGGGTATATTAACTTATGGTTTTTATGTAAGGCCAATGCAGTAGATGTTGTAAGTAGTTGTGATGCATCAATGTCACATATTGTATGGACTAGTAAATTGAAACTTGAGAACAAATTTATTCAGGGCAATAACGCAACTAATGACATGTCATGTGTTGGATGTTTGGATATTCAAATTATAGGTACACTTGTGGTTGAACTGTAGTTTTTAAGAAGTGCTTCCTCTTTCTTTATTGGGGTAGTTAGATTTTTTTAACAAAACACATGCAATGATTTTTATCAAAGAATAGTTCAGAACATAATTCATGCAGTTCACTTATGTCCAACATTGAAGAGAGTTTTATTTTCCACTGTTTTCATAATTCCTGTCAGTTCTATTTTTCTTCTTGAATTGGAGAGAGTTATATTTACAAGATATGGCATTTTCCCTCGTGATTATCCCAGATTAATATTGTCCTTGCTTGTGTTTTGTAATTATTGGTAGCCATTAACTCAATATGCAGGGTCCACTAACCCCTGAAAAATTTGAACAAGCTATTCGATCTAAGAGTACAAAATATGAACAAACATCAATATTAAAGGTATGGTCTTCACCCCTGTTTAGGACTGTCCTGCTTCACATCTCCCTCTTATTCAAGATTTAATGGCTAATTAATTCATTTTAATGAATACAGAGAAATGGATCAAAATCAAATGGCAGGATTGTCAGTCATGAGAAGGTGCATGTATGTCGGTATGGATCAGATAATAAGATTAAGATGGATGAACAATCATGGGACCAAGTACTTTCAACAAGAATCAGTACTGCTATAGTCAATGGAAAGAATGATAAGATCCTCGTGGTTGATACTGGGAAACCCCAGTTGAGATCTCAAGGCAGGAACCTGTTTCACTCCACTCATCTTGCTCATGCTTCAGACCAATATAGTTACAGTTTTACTCATTCAAAGGAGTCGAATCAGACATTTCCCAGTCTCTCGTCTAGTAAGGTTCAGTCTTTAAGTCCACTGAAGTTTTCTCATGAGGTTGAGGAAAGTTCTTTCACCACTGCTGAGGATAGCCCACAATTCTATTCTGCATCATCGAGATGTGGTAGTTCGAAGGCAAATCCCTTCACTCCAGCCAAGAGTGATGGCTCAAAAGGCTGCCAAAGTGGTTACTCAGACCATCCAAATTACATGGCTTACACTGAATCTTCAAGGGCGAAGGTGAGATCTTTCAGCGCTCCAAAACAAAGACCACAATATGAATGGTCTGGTTTAACAAACAGGCATCCCCCTTTGGGATTTGGTGAACTGAAATTCAATACACAGGGATCTCTGCATGCAAAATTCACAAGCAAAGCTTACCCAGGATCAGGCCGGTTGGACAAGCTTGGTATCCCTATTGGGCAAAGACACTAAACCTCAGTCTAAGTGACATGCAGTATTTCTCTTCCAGTCTCACTAATTCACGTACTTAGATTTACATGTTCTTTGATAGGAAGAACAGCTAGCTGTTTATGTTTGCAGGTTGAAAGATGAAATCTCTGTCCCGAATCTTATTTCTTCTATGAGCATATATTTATTGTTCAGTAATTGTGAATCCACCCAAATATTAGCAGCTGAAAAGAGTGTTGTTTTAAACATGAACTTTACTCACTAACTTTCTGGGTATGGGAGACCTTTTATCATGTTATGGTACAAAGGCCTAGTATGTGTATTTAAGGACGTGTGGTCTCTTTCCCCCATTCTCAGCATACTGTGGACCATGGAGGTGAAATTTATTCACCATAAATGGCCTGGTTGGATTTTCAGACCGAGAGGTTTTACAAGAAAGATCTGGGAGATGATGTCGGTGGTATGGCGGGGTAAAATTACCAGTACATTTTACCTTGGAATGAGGTCACCTCACCGGTTAGTGAACCAGGACTGGGTTTTGGTTCTTGATGACTCATGTAGGGTCGTTGGGTTCCCATTGGTACAGACAGGATTACTCAAGGCTAATAAATATCCACTGTTGTGTTTGGTTGTCCCCCTGCTACTATTCACACGTAATAAAGAAGGGTTTTCCTGACCGTTGCTTTTGGTATATATTAAAAAAATATATTTTTTTATAAATATGTATAAGAAAAATATAAGAATTAATGTAATTTTAGTGTTATTAGTAACATAAATGATTTTAATTAAATAATTAATAAATTAAAAATTAATTGTTATTTTTTAACATAAATTTACAAAAAAAAATTTATTACATTAAGAAAACAAATTAAGAAAACCAATAAAAAAACATTTTACCATATGATTTAAGTGGTTACGTTTTTTTGTGTGAAAAACAAAATGAATCGCAGTACATGATCATTAAATTGATATTTCGATCGGTTTTTAAATAGATACTAATTTATTAATTATATTTTTATAGTAAAAAAAAAATAAAAACCAATAAAGGAAGATAAAAGAATTGGATTTAGGCTACGTGACTGACTGTTATTTGAAGTCTCATTGGCCTTGTAAAAATTAACAAATCCACATTTCCACATAAACCACATGCTGATTTCACTCTTTAGTTTTTATTTGGACGTTTGGAACCTAGAGTTCGAATGCTGAAGTAAGTCAGACCCATGCTCGTTCGTCACTTGTTGGCTCAAAATGCTAAATTCGTCAAATCTCTTATCAATTAACTTGGAGGCTACGGTTTGAGCTGACTGCTTGCTGTAATTGTACAGTTTGATGATGAATGAAATCTTTTTTTTTTTTTTTTCTCCCTTAAAGAAGGTAGGGACGAAGTACGAAGTTATTCCAAATTTTAGAGACTGACATTTATCAACTGAATTTTTTTAAAATTTAGAAAAAAAAACTTTAAATAAAATTGTTTTATTAAAATATTATAAAAAAATCAAAATATTTTCATTTATGGATAAGAGTTTAAGTTATTTTAATTTTTTAATAAAAATTTATTAAAACGATATAATTTTAAATTTTTTTTTAAATTGGTTGATAAACACTTTTCTTAAAAAATAAAATAATTTTGTTTAAATATGTATTCAAATGACATTTAAAGGTACAAAGTGTTGTGATTTAGTTGTTTATTGCGTAAGTGTAACACACCATGCTAGATTATTTTTTCATCTCTTTTATAAATAAGATCTTCCTTTTTCTCATCTTCGTCGGGTATTTCAACTGCTTAATACCAAGTTAAGATTGGCACCTTTGCAGCAACCACTACATTACAAAACCCAAAAGAAGGAAGTTCTCTGAGTCCTCCACAGTCCTTACTCTGTCGAAGATAACATCAACCCTAGTCATGTGGCATGCTCAATAACTGTGAAGGATTAATGGATACAAAACATCTGCCTTAACGTATTTTTTTTTAGTTGTGATTGTTTTGATTTCAAAACTAGATGCCCATTTAGCTCCAAAATCATACCAAGGTTTAGTCACTTGATCATCTTAATAAAGAAAAGAAGAGTGTCTGAAACTCCAAATGAACCATATACAACATTGAATTCTTGATGTCCAAAGTGAATCTCAAGGTCAGAAATTATGCTATACATAGGAAAGGGAAAGAAAAAAAACCAATTAACAAGATATAAGGGGAAAAAGGTTCAAAGAATCATTGTGGAACCAGGGAGATAGAAGTAAGGCCTTGTGCTAAAAATAGTGTTCCCATCAGTTCCCACATTTCCAGTTGCTGGTAGGCACGCAGCTTAGGTACTGGCACCAGCTGCAGTGGTCGTTTCCATTCTCCCCTTTAAACAGCATTACCAGTCCCAGTGTGAAACTGTAATTTTCAAAAACAAAAAGGTGAAATTAGTTCTTCAATAGACCGAGTCATTGATCTGCAAGACTACACCAGACAACCAAATGGTAAGTTAAGAACTAGCATTTTGAACTGAACTTACCCAGCAATTAGTAAAACCACAGCAACCACCCAGAAAACATATTGGTAAGCCTTGTACTTAGAGTTTGCACGGGCATCGGGAGGGAGTTGATGGCGTTCCATCCACCCAAATTGGGGACGGAGTAGCAAAACAAATCCAAGGAGAAAGCCGACCAAGAAACCTCCAATATGTGCAAAGTTGTCAACGTGGGGAAGGATCCCTAATGCCAAGTTGATGGCAATAATGAGCACAAGTGTGATAAGAGCTGCAGCCTACAATATGCAGAATAAACCTCATCAATTATTCTCAATTCATAGGGTCAAAGGTTTTTCTTCTGTTCTTAATTTCAGAGAGTCGAGTTGTAATGAATCAATTATCATTAACTCCACATAGTAAGGTCATGTCTATTTCCAAATGCAACCATGGGAAAAATTTGTTTACCACAGAACAAGAAAAAAGTGTAAGCAAGGAACCTTATTCGCATATATAGTCCAGTTGGTAAGAAGCTCTGACAACATTGCTCCAAGAAGTCCAAACAAAGCACCAGAAGCACCAACTGATATATTTTGCTGAATGAAAAGAGAAGATAGTATGCTTCCGCCAAGTCCTGATAACAGGTATATCATCCCAACTCGCACTGCCAAAGAAAAATGCAATTAACAATCAATATTTATGACAAGCAGAAACACAAATTGTCCTAAAAATATAACTTAATACAAGATACGGTTCCAACAACAGAGAAAAGGACATACCAAACCCAAATTGCTGCTCAAGACGAATCCCAATCAAAACCAAGCTCAACATATTAGCAAGCAAATGAATAACACCTGCGTGCAACCAGATGCAAGTGATGAGCCTCCATCCTTGGTGCCCATGCACTACCTTGGTCCACTCTAGTGCTCCCAATTTCTCCAATCTGAAGAAGCAAGAACAAAATGAATACAGGGAAGTATTCGAGTCAAAAGAATGAGAAATCTACTGATAACGTCAAAGGAAATAGAAATAAGAGAACAAGGCGACTAATCGTGTGGCTGAGGTAGCATCTCAAGTGTGAGCAGGAAACAACTACTACCAAACTGCAATCACTTTAAAGAGGTAGTAGATAATTGAAGACAAACAGTTTCATAATCCTTTCCTTGGGACTGAACTTAAAATCATGAAAACTTTAAGCTACCTTAATTCATAAAGGCAAAGTATATACAAGGAGCTTCACACAGTAGAGGGTGAGGGTGAATGGAGACTACTCTAGAAGATGTATATTTATACCAATATTTATCCTACAGCTTAACCAGTTCACCATGAGGCTGTTTAGCGGTTTGAAACAAGCAGTTAGCCATTTCGTTAACTTAACCACTAACTGCTTGTTTGAAATTGATGTACCAAAACAGACCCCGTGTAACATATAACTGTGTAAAAAATAAAATAAAATATGTACTGCTATCCCCCCCCTCCTCCTTTCTTTTGGATGAACAATTGCTATCTCCTAATTAGAATCAAAACAAAACATAGAATTGATAAATCATCAAGCATGATCTAATCTAGGGCATTCTCTTAGTCCAGATTCGAAAGGCCCAATCATAAGAATAATTTTCCTAACGGTTGGAATTGAAATTGACTAATGGGTATATATAATCACCATGTTTTGACTTTAGAGATTGACTCCCTCCCTAGACTTGGATTTGAAATTAAATTGAAGGCCCTCTTCTCTTCTACTGAAAATCAGAAGGGACCTCCAGCTCAATCCAATTTCCAAATTACTAACACATCTCACATCCAAAGATTCCAAAAGAACAAACACACAATTTCATGGTTATAGTTACCAACCAATAAAAGCACACCCAACGAAAGCACAATACAAAGGAAAATAAAGGGGGAGGAAAATTTGTCAGTGGAGACAAATCTAGACATGAATAATAGTCAACCAGAAGAAAAAGGAGCAAACTTACGTAGAAGACGAGGGACCAAAGAGAGGATTCTCCTTTAAAGGCTGAAAGGACAACCTTCCAAGGAACCTAGCAACGCAGTCTCCTCCAAAACCCAGATTGTTCTTGGGACAATCGTTGACATACATCACCAAAACAAACATTGCAACATTCGCCACAACAAACACGGGCACAAGCCATGAAGTCCATTGCTTTTCACTGGTAGTATCCACATGGTATGAACTCGAAGATGGGCAGTAACCGTTTCCGCTGTTCTTTGCACCACCCCCTCTCTCCAGATCTCTACTCGCCATTCTTCCTCTTCAAAGCTCTTCTCTTTTCACCAAAGTTCCGATCTTGGAAATTGTTTATACATATATTTGAGAGAATGAGAATGAAAAGAGTTGCTTCTATGGGAGATGGGTACCGGAACAGGGATCAAACTACGTTTCTTGTTGTTATTGCAGAATTAAGCGTAGAAAGGGAGAATCCACACAGCAACAGGAATTTCTATGTACCTTAGGAACTTGAGCAGTGGTGGCTGGTTATCTATAAAGCATTAGAGCTGCCCCCAGCATTTTTATGCAACAGAGAATGAAGATAAAGTATAATTACTTTACTTTTCTACCCTTATGGATTTTCTTTTTCTTTTTCTTTTTTTGTTTAATTGAGAATTTTTTAATAAAAACACATGATGGTATTATTATAAAATCTAAATCATGTGATGAAAAGGACATGCAACTTTCACCCCCTTGATTTAAATGCATTTAACTCCTGTTGTTTGTTATAATTTTGTTCGTTAGAATAACAATCAATTTATCTTCATTTCTCCACATTTTTCCATGTTAAAAAAAAAAGAAGAATCATGTAATGAAAAAGTATAATATAATATGAATTATACTTAATTGTACTAAATTAATTATTAAATAAAAATTAAATCTCGTAATAGTAAGAACTTTACAATTTAATACAGTCTAGAATTTAAACTATAAAATAAAGTTTTCATTATATAATTTAAATTATTAATAAGCAATTAAACTGCAAAATAGTGAGAAATATTGAGACAAATACAATGACCTTTCGTTAGAAAATAAAAATGGAAATGTTTTTATACTAAAAATATTAAAAGGAAACCAAATCAAAGATGGTTGAGCATCTCATTAAATAATATATAATGAGCTAATTTTTCATAAGTTGTCAATTTCATCATGAATTATATGTGTTTTTGTCAAATTTAAGTGAGTTAGTATGGTTAGTAAAAATGGACAGACCACCTACTAGTACTAAAATGAAAATCAAATCAAATGAAAAACAATCTTGCCTTGGTCCACACCACATGGTTTTATAAAATGGAAAGCCTTAGGCAATCATAAACCATAAAAGTGAGTATTTTATAGCAATAATTATTGGATTCCTTTTAAAATTGAACAAAACGTACATGAAACATGTGGGAATAAACTTTTGAAGTTTTTATTTAGTCCTTACCGTTTCAAAGACAAAGATAAGATACTAGTATTGATATTAGGTCATATTTTACTAATTTAATTTATATAAAATGGTTTGCATTTGATTTTGATGAAAACCAAAGTTTCTTTCTTTGTTAGGAGTGTTTATATGCTTAGTGATTGTTTAGTACAGTAATTTAAAACTAATAATTAATAATTTTACCTAATTTAATAATTAATCATTATTATCATTAATAATTTAAATATTTTTATTTATTAAATTAAATAAAACAACTAATCACTAATTTATTTTAAACCATTATACTAAATAATCCATTAAAATAAGAAAAAAAAAAGAAATTATAATCCCTAAACAAATTCGATAACATGCAACGGAGAGTCTCTTTTTTTCCAAAGAGAGTTTTTTCCCCTCAAGAAATGTTTGATTAATTCAGAGATCATGGATGGTGAAAAGGGGCAGGCCGGTCATTTGAAAAGGAAAGAGACGTGGGTGATGAAGGAAAATCTCTTAAATGAGGCAATGTTCGGTTCGGGGCCTTGATGTGAGTCGGCAGTCTTTGGTTGGCCCCTGTTTCGGTTGCTTCCAAGCTACTTCTGCCATTTGGGATGACTCCATCCCACTCACCAATAAAATATTGAAACACTAATAATTTATTGATCCGAATCGGAATAAAAAAAATTTGATTCCTTTTAAGTCTTGTAAATGAAAATACAAAAAACAACCACGGAAAGCTTCCCTAAATGAAATCCGACGCAACTCGATTTTGAAATAGTAAAATTTAATGTGATTACTAAATGTCGAGATTAATAAAAAAAATAAAATATTGGAAACATTCACACGTAGAACCAGTCGTCTGACTTGGCATGACAACATTGGTTAACCCTGAACAGAAATTTCGGATTCATCCATAAAATAAGGAAAACAAATGATATAGGGTCTTTTTTTTTTTGGGCCACATGGGATTGATTGGGATTGATTGGGATTGGCATTAATCTCAATCCAATGGAAAAAGCAAGTCACTTTCCCTATCAATTCAATTATCTTTCAGTTTTGCTTTCCTTCTTATAAATGTGCACATTAATCCTTTTCAAAATTTCAAGAAAACATGCTTCCAATTTCATTTAAGATGTGGCTATGCCCTGTTCTTCTTGCTAACATGATCCAAAATCATCCATGGATGTTCTACCACTTAGCAGTTCACACTGCAATATCTAGAGAGCTATGCAAGTTCCAATGCATGATGCATCAAAAAGTTAAAGATATTAGTGTTTACATAAACCATTCTTACCCGGAAACACCTAAAAATTAAGCTGCTTTAGCTGTTTCACGAACACGAGAAAACTTAGCCAGAAGACCACATAATTGAAGATATGAACCAACTCCATCACAGATTCTCATGTGTGCAAACCCGGTTTCCTGTGAACTCAAGAGAAACAAAAATAAGAATTCATGTTAAAGACTAGGACTGGTGAAAAGAGGTTAGAATGGTATGGCATACGCACCTTCATAAATTCCAGTTTCAAGAACTCAGCCATATCATGATTCTTTATGACTCGGAAAAGGGTTGTGATTATGTCAGTGGGTGAATAGCCCAAATCATAGAGTTGTTTCAGACCCAAACAAGCATCATCAAATTTCCCATCAAGTACATTACGGATCATGTTCTTCACATGCAGGGGATGAGGTTGATCACAGACCTGGAAACCAAACAAACCTTATTCTGGTGTCTCCAAATATATGAGAAACCAAAACAATCAGAGCCTTAATAAACAGTAACCTTAAAAACATTCTCCTGGTTGACCAAACGGAATCCACTAAATGTAGCCTGCAAATTATTCAATGCTTGTCTCATATCCCCATCAGCAGTGAAGATAATGGCTTCAAGACCTTCTGGAACGTAAGGAACCTTATTGATTAAGAGCAAAATTGGGTCAGTTACAAACTACCTGATAAAGTCCTTAATATAAGAAAGAAAAGAATATGTATGTGCCACAATGCGTTGGCAGTTCATATAGCAAGAACAAAATGCAAAGAAGGAACCAAACATTTTTTTGAACTCCTTTAAGCAATAAATTCAAATTTTGGAGCTTCTAACTATAATGTTGAGTAAACATAAAACTCAAATCGTGGTTCGATATCCACAAACTAGGTTAGACACTATCTGCTCCTGTCAATTACACTCTATAGAAAAAGGAATAGTAGAAAAAGAATCACGTTCAATCATAACTCCAAATTTAAGGCAATTCTGTGCTAAAATGCACACTACAGTGCAGCATTGCAAATATATAAATACCTTTTCTGCTTCAACCACCACCATGAGACGACCAAGTATCTCTTGATCAGATAACCTTGAAAATCGAACAAGGGCACATCTGCTCTGAATGGGCTCAATAATTTTTGAAGATGTATTGCAAGCAAGGGCAAAACGAGTTGAGTTTGAATATATTTCCATTGTTCTCCTCAAGGCTTGCTGTGCTCCAGATGTCATGCTAATATTTTGCAAATTATATAGCCATCGGAACAAAAACCCCCAATCACAAGCACGAATTAGGCAGCTAAATTGTATATTTTCATATTACCAATAAACTCATTTTCTGAATTAAAAAAGAAAAAAACCAATAAACTCATACACAAACTATTACTGGATTCAAAAACAAACTATTAGCAACATCATGACCCAAGTATTCTCATCGGTTCTTACCTGTCAGCTTCATCCAGAATTACTATCTTGTGCCTCCCAGGAGATAATGTCACCTTCTTCTGAGCAAACATTTTTATCTTGTTCCTGACAACATCTATACCCCTTGACAGGAGAAGGAAAGTCACAATAAACTTTATCAGTGAGAAATCCAACTTCAAAAAAGTAAAATGCCTTACAACCCACAAATTTAACTACCTATCATCTGATGCATTCAGCTCCAAAACAGCCTCCTTATAATTTGGCCCCAAAAGTTCATGAGCAAGTGCTAGGATACTAGTAGTTTTACCAGTTCCAGGAGGACCCTGAAAAACATCATGAAAAATGCTCAAGCAAAGTAAACTCCCATTCAATTGTGCACAATTTTAACTAGATTGTGAATAATAAGAAGCCGTCCTAGACATACAATGAAATTTAGCAAATATTCACTACCATAATCAAATCTCTTAACCACAATACTCCTCAAATATTCTATTGTTTGTAATTAGACATCTAAAATTGAAACCCAAAAAAAAAAAAAAAAACACTGCAAACTCTAAATACCCATAATTTGTCCACTGAAAAAAATTAAGAGCAACTGGCCAACTCAAAACCCCAGGTAATTATTACCAATAATTCAACAAGATTTCCCACAATCCATACTCATACGGGAGTTTCATAATTCATTATAAACTAAAATATTTTAAAAATAACCACAAAAATGGATGAGGGTTAAGAAAAAGACTAAAAAATGAATGAAGGTTCTGCGAAAATCTGAAACTGGGTGTTAATTAGTTAGGGAAGTAGAAAATCGTACTGATAAGATGAGATTGGGCATGTTGCCATCGCGAGCTATGACTTGGAGCCTAGACACCGCATCCTCGTTGCCAACAATGTCCGCGACCTTGTTCGGCCTGTACTTTTCCACCCACGGCACATCGTAGGCGCTGCTGCTGCCGGAAGATGAAGAAGCTGCCATTTTTTCTGGCCGACAAGTAGGGTTTCCCTCTCTTCAATTTGGAGGGAAATATGCTGCCACTCCGGTCTGGCTCTATTTATTTATTCATTTATTTCAATTAAAATGGAGGGTCTATAAAATTGTGTAATTGTAAAATATCCTTTTATGTTTTATTGATTATTGATCTGATCCCCAAATTTTAGTATATCATGTATGAGGTCATAGAATTTCAACTCATATTATACGCATACATTATCGCGCTTATCATGTTATACAATTCTTTGTATTTAAAATTAAAAAAAAATTGAGTATTTTGCAATTCAAACTATAAAATATTAAGTATTAAATTAAGTGGGGTCTTGATATTGGTAAAAAAAACCCTTTATTTAATGGCTATTTGGTTGATATTTTATAATTTAATGTAATTTAAACTGTAAAATATTTTAACTCTAAAATTCATAGAAAAATGAAGTCATTTAACCATAAATGAAAGTGGTAGGCTTATTTATGGAGGATATGCCTTCCATCAATAAGTTTTGTTTTTTAAGTAAGTGTTTTTTATATTATGCTCTTAAGGTATAAAATAAAAGTATATTTATGACATCTTTTTATCAATCATATATTAATTTACATAGAAAAATAAAAAAAATTAGCATTAAGTTTAACATCTATGACATGCGTATATTTTTTATTGGACAATTGGTAAAATTAATATTAATTTTTAATTTTACTATGTGTATTAATAATAAAAAGATACAATAAATATATAGTTATCATGTGTTTCAACTTTCAAGAGTACAAGATAGAAAAAACCCTTTAAGTAAAATGAAGGATCTTCCATCAAATAATTAGCTACTTAGGTTGTAATTTAGTTGT